CGTCAGCCATTTTGGCGACTGTCTGGGTATTCTTGATACGCTCCAATGCTGCTTCCCAGTTAGAGTTATGTTCATCATTGTCTCGGTTCTCGTATCGTGCAATGAATGCACCTTTCGCATGTTGAATCCAAGCACCCCCGGAGGGAAGTGAGAAAATCCCGAATTGATACCAACCCGGCATCCCTGGATGAGGCGAAACCTGAAGGAGAGTTTCTAAGCCTCGCTCTTCGTCCGGAATAACCACTCCTCGCATAAAATGAAGGTCTTGGAATTCTATTCCCTTGATGTTGGCCTGGTCATCAGCTAGTTGCCTGGCTGCCTCGGTAGCCATCACCAACATGCCCGCAGCTGGGAATACAATCGATCCGGCGACAACATGATCGGCCATCCATGGATTCTCCGAGAGTCGCAGGAAGTTTCTCCACCGTGGCTCTAAGGCGTTCTGATAATCCACGGCCGCTCCCAAAATATCATGACGGGGATGCTTTCGTTGTCTCAATTGCGTTGTCTCCAACGGCTCGTGCCAGAAGGACGTTTGGTGATTCCATGGATAAGAAGGCAAGTCAGCAACCATTTTTGGACTTGTGGTATCGACACTACTGTTGACCGCAGCAAGGTCTACTGTATGGCCTGTGCTCCAAAGAGAACCGGCAACTTCCAACGCGGTCCGCAAAGCATGCTGGTTCCGCGAGACCAGTGAATGGTAAGGCAATGATGCCATACTTGCGTTGCCAGACTGTAGAATCTGAGTGACAGGTCCCTTCAAAACGGCGTGTGGCCCGATTTCAACCAATGCAGTCCATTTAATTGGAACCGGCCGTCGGCGAGACTTGATAGACTCACTCAAATTTGCGAGCTGTGACACTGCGGCAGTAAACTCAACTGAGCTGATCATGTTGCGCACCCAATATGATCCACCAAGCTCGGCGGGATAGACACGCTCTTTTGTGACCGATGAAAGCATGGGTATTGAGCCACTGTATCGATCTTCTGGCTTGATACAATTGATGGCATTACCTACCACTTCAACAAGGTCTTCCATGTGAGGGGAATGATAAGCTGTATCGATGCGCAACTTCCGGGCGAAGTGACCATCTTGTTGTAGCCTTGCTTCAAGATGATCAATCAAGTCCACATCACCAGAAAGGGTTGTACTGGCAGGACTATTGACGCAGGCAACGACAACTGAACGTGGGGGCAGCTCCTCAAGGTACTTTTGTGCCTCGGCTGCGGAAATACCAGTAGCAAGCATGCCTCCTCGTCTCTCACTCTGAGCGATCTGTTGTGAAAAGAAACCGCGAAACCAGGCGACTCGCATAGCGTCTTGGCGAGATAGATATCCAGCAGCATATCCAGCGGCTATGTGTTGCAAATAAGTCAGCTGTTATTCACCATTGGTTGCTTTGTGCAAGAGAGAAGAATGGAGTTCATACCAATTTCACCGCTAGAGTGACCAACCACTGCGTTGGGATAAACCGACCAGCTGGCTAAAAGATCAACCAATGCAATCTGCAACGCGCAGGTGATGGGCTGGCTGCGATCGGGTCGGTTAATTTGGCTTTCTTTTGCCTCTGCCTTTATCTCCTCCACCATGTCAAAGGGACATCCCAGGGACGATAGAATGTCTTGTGATCGTGCTATGCTTTCCCTGAAAGTGGAAATCCTCAAAAGCTCTCGGCCCATTCCAGCCCACTGGCCACCCTGACCTGTGAATACAAAGGCAAGTCTAGTTTGAGCTTTGCGACTAGCTCGAGGAAACTTAGGGAGTCCCTTGTCTAAGATGCTCTGCAGCTGGTCTTGCGAGTTAGCAACCGCGAAGCTGCGGAAGCCCAACTGCGATCGGCGCGTCAGCATTGTATGGGCTAGATCTTTTAGTGGAATTTCCTGCTCGGTCTTCTGCTGTCGTTCAAGGAATGTGCTCCAATTCTGACTGGTCCGTTCAATGCCAGCTTGATCAAATGTGGAAAACACCACCACATGAGGGGCCGGCTCCTTGTCTTCAGAATTGCCCCCGAGGGCTTCTTTGGCGCTTTCGAGAATCAGGTGCGCATTTGATCCACCGAATCCAAATGAGTTGATACTAGCCCGCTGTGGAAGATGGTCTGGCCAGGGCATCGTTTTGTCGCTCAGGCGTAAACGCCAATCATCGAGCCGGATCTTGGGATTGATGTTTTTGAACCCGGCGTTTGGCACCAACGTGCCTTTTTCTAAACAAAGAACGACCTTGATCAAGCTAGCCACTCCTGCGGCTCCTTCGGTGTGACCAAAATTTGTCTTCACTGAGCCTACGTATATTGGCTCATCAGTCGGTGTTCGTGCCTGACCTAACGTCAATCCGACAGCAGACAGCTCCGTGGGATCCTATTCATCATCAAGTTAGTAAACCGAGTCCTCGACTACCGATCAACAGAGCTGTTTTGCTTACCCCGACCGGAGTTCCAGTGCCATGGGCTTCAAAGTAGGAAGTGTCTCTCATTGAGATGCCATGACGTTCGTAAACTGAACGAATCAAATTGGCCTGAGACGTTGGGCTGGGCAGTGTAATTCCAGGAGTACGACCATCTTGGTTGATTCCTGTGCCGCGGATGACGGCTCGAATATTATCTCCGTCGGCCAATGCGGCGCTGAGGGGCTTCAAAAGCACAGCACCGATGCCCTCTCCTCGGCCGTATCCATTTGCAGACTCATCAAACGAATGACTTATTCCATCTGCACTCATCATGTGCATGTAGGAGAGTCTTTGTGTAAAATTAGGGTGCAAGATGAGACTGGCTCCAGTTACCAAGGCCTGCCACAAGCATGTTTAGTCCATGTCATAAACAGATATACAGCTTGAAGTACTCACCATTCCGCATTCTCCAGATCGCAAGGACTGGGCTGCTAAATGAACCGCAGTCAAACTCGAGGAACACGCAGTGTCCATCATGATGCTCGGGCCTTGAAGATCAAAGAACCACGACAAACGATTTGCCAGCATAGTCCTGCCATTACCAGTAGCGGAATTGTGAGGCATATCGTAGATGTCTCTTGTCGATAATAGCTCGTAATCATTGGTCATTGAGCCGGAGTACACTGCCGTGTTACTTCCTGGAAGTGTGTCTATTGGTATTCCGCCTATTTTATCCATTTTAGCTTGATTGGTTTCCATAAATTTTTGAATCTCGTTTGTCTTACTGTTTTCAAATGTTTCATAAGCGACTTCGAGCAACAAACGCTGTGCTGGGTCCATTCCCGCCGCCTCCTTGGCTGTGATAGAGAAAAAAGGAGCATCAAATCGTGATGGATCTTCCTGCAAGAAAAATCCACTATCATGATTGATCTATTACTTCGGTTAGAATAATAAAATAACGTCTAGTTGGAATATTCATACCGCTCCTCTGCGCTCATGACTGGGGTGATGCCAGGCCGAAGCTTCATATCGGCTCGCCGGGACCGTCCCATGCCCAGTGCGTCCGTCGCATAGCATCTGCCAGAAGTTCTCAACGGAGGTCGCTCCTCCAGAGAAGCGACAGGCCATTCCAATGACTGCAATTCCCTCCATATCGGCAGGGGCCGAGGTCGTTGTTGGTCGGCCAGGCATCTTGTGGGTATGGAATGGTTGAGGACAAGTTTGGACAATATTACAGAGAAGGGATGCTGTGGGGTATTATAGTCGATGTCGTGCATTCCAGGTCCGGCAAGTCCCCGTCCTAATTGCCATCAAAGTGGCCATGACTCCTGGCGCTAATCCGATTAATGTGTAAAGCCGCATATTCACATGCGCATTTTACTGGCTATTCAAGCGGAGAACATACAGTGGAGACCTCAGCTCATTGAAATGCACTGTGGACAATGTACTTTGTACATCTATGTACAGAGCACGGAGTACGGACTACATCCTTTGGATCTTGGCTTGTTGAGACCGTGTCTCCCACCCTAGAAACAAATGCCTAGAATATGGATGTGGCTAATGCAGTTGGATCTCTTTCTCCATACTCGTACAGCCCCAATGCCGGACTGTTCCACCATTTTCTGTAGGTTCGCATCCGCTTGCCCCTGAGGCGAAGCTTACGAAAATGCTGGCAAGTGGAGATTGTGTACTCCATAGATCAACGAACTGGATCGTCAATGCTTCAAGATGGACCAAATGTGCATGGAAATTGTACTGTGACGAGATGATACCAGTATCGGTCACTGTATTTCAAGATTGCGAAGCTTCAATACTCCATCGACCCGCATGGCCTGCTCCACTATATAATGACAATCAGCCAATGTTCGTAGCCGAGGATCCCCTATCAGGATTCCTTTTTCTGACCTTTTCTTTTCCTGAGAGGATTCCTATCCCGCAGTGGAGCAGCCACTTTCCTTTCCCAGCCCCCTATTTGCGAGTTCCACTTTTCGGACTCTCCGGGTACTTGTGTTTCCCTTACTCTGTACTCCGTACATGGATGTATTTTGGAGAATATCAATTTTGCCTTGGCTATGTTGCAAGTCCTGCTCTTTAGCTGCTATCATTGTATGGCAATCTCGCATGTGTGAAACTTCGCTGTTGTAACTAGGGTACCATTACTCCGTACTGGCGTCGGGCTACCGGATCTCAATTTGAAGATGAGATCCTCTGCGGAGCACATTAGAGTAGCAATTGACTTTATTGAAGCTACTAACACTTGTTGCCCCTCCCCTTCATGCAGATCACCTACAATATACAACATAGTCAGTACCTGTATCTGACGATCTTAGAAGCTCTAGGCAGTAGTCAAGGCTAGCTAGCCAGATTATCGCGCGGCAAAAAGAGCATACTTTGTCTGAGCTCTTCAATGGTTCAATCTCGCCCGGAATCCTAGGTCGCTCTACGGAGTAATTCCAACCCACATACGGAGAATTCCCGACGAAGTGCAATAATATACCATCGCTTTCGCAACTCCTGCTTTCCCATTTAAACGATTTGCCGAGAACATTTGAGCTGTACCCCACCTCTCTCGCATCCTTCCCTTCCCCCCGCGTCGCAAAATCTGTTGAGGATGGCCACTCAAAGCGCCATTGTTGTCCAAGGACCTGGCCGCGCGACACTGGAAGGCGTCCCGCTTCCTGACTTGCCGGATAACTACATTCTCGTCAAAACGAAAGCTGGTATTTTCTCCTTGTGCTTATCTTCACTCCGACTTTCATGAGCAGCTGGACTAACCCAGTACGAAGTCGCTTTGAATCCAACGGACTGGCGCCATATTGATTTTGTACCCTGCACTGGGGCCACCGTGGGCTGCGACTATTCTGGAATAGTAGAAGCTGTGGGGTCACGCGTCAAAAAGGCTTTCAAAAAAGGCGATCGGGTTGCTGGGTTTGTGCACGGTAGCAATGCCGTTCGCCACAATGGCGGCGCATTTGCTCAGTATGTGATTGCGAAGGGCGACCTCCAAATATTGATACCCGAGTCCATGAGCTTCGAGGCGGCAGCCACCTTCGGTGTTGGTTTGACCACTGTTGGTCAAAATCTTTACCAGAGCATGGAATTGCCTTTCCCCGGCGATCAGGGTAGCGAGTCAGATGACACAAATATCCTAGTCTATGGAGGGGCAACGGCTACCGGTACCCTTGCGATCCAATTGGCAAAGTTATCGGGACTGCGAGTTGTCACAACATGCTCTGAAGCGAACCGCAGCTTCATGTTTGAGCTTGGGGCAGACGCGGTTTTTGATTACCACGATCCGCTAGTGGGCGAGCAGATCCGAGAGGATACTGATGATGCTCTGGAATTCGTTCTTGATACGATCTCTACGCCCCAATCGGCTGCCATCTGCAGTGCTGCCATTTCGTCAGCGGGTGGTTCCTACAATGCACTGCTGGATGTTCCATCCGCGAGGGATGACGTTGATTCACATGTCTCAATGGCGTATGATGTCCTAGGAGAGCCTTACCGCATGGGAACGAACGAGATATCTCCTAATAGCACTAACTTTGAATTCGGCGTCAAATGGTGGGAATTAGCCCAGAAACTACTCGAAGAGCGCCGCATTCATCCTCATCCATATCAGGTGAAGCCAGGCGGTTTGACGGGAGCGTTGGCCGGCCTTCAGATATTACGGGAAGGTAAAGTCCGAGCGTCCAAGCTAGTCTATCGGGTTGATGAATCCGAGTAAAATGTTAAAAAAGCAAACAAGGAGTCTTGACCTTCTATCGAGGTCCAATGAGGCGCTGGGTTTTATCAGTGCAAGTTTAGTACGTATATATAAAAACGGATGCAGTGCTGCATAGTAGCTTTACAAAGGAGATAACGGGACCATTACAGTATTAGACTCTATGTATGTGATTGAGTCGAGGATTAAAAGGTCACCCTATATCGGTCTAACCGATCTCCCTTCGTGAATGGAGAGCTCTTCGAGCATGACTCTTTATTTATCAGTTCGCGGGTATATCACCGTTGCAGCAGTGTTGCGAACCAGAGATATATGGAGTGCCAGTAATCTCTAGTATTATGCGAAAGGAAAGATAAACCACTAACAGGGTGGTTATGGACAGATTTGTGTCCAGGCGCTTTATTAAATTTTCAATATTTCTGCGTACGTAGGTTATAAGCTTGAGTACTTTCTAACGCTCAAATCGCCCCAAGAGCTATAGTTTACGTAAATTACATGATCCGTATGGAGGAATAAAGAACATGATACTGAGAGTCTCTAATAGATCACAACATCTTGGAATCAGATTTCAATGTAGACCTTCCCCGTATGCTGGCCGCTTGCAAGGTAGTTGTATGCCTCAACAACCTCGTCCCGAGTGAAGTTGAAAGCTCTCTCAACAGGGATAGGTAGACTGTGAGCGCCGATGAATCGAGCAGCGTCCTGAAGCATCTGCTTAGAACCAACCATAATACCGCGGACGACAGCTCCCTTTGCTAATGCAAGACCAGCTACATCTGGCATCTCATCTTGAGGAGCGCCGGAGAGAAAGCCAATAACTGCGATATTGCCGCCGTAAGGAATAGCTGCAGAGACTGCTTGATGGTCCCAGAACCGCCGTTTCCAAAAATGCAGTCCTCACCACGACCCTGGGTGATCTTTTGCACCTCTTCCGCCCAATTCGGGGTGGCCTTATAGTTAATTGTGTAGTTGGCCCCGTACTTCTGCTGAACATACTGGAGCTTCTTGTCGGAAGAGGATGTGATGATAGTGGTGGCACCTGCAGCCTTTGCAAGAACGAGGCCAGTGATGGACGCAACCCCAGTACCTAAAAGTACAGTCAGACCCTTTCCTTTCTTTTCAAGAAGGTGCAGTCAACATACCAAGGAAGAGAACAGTGTCGCCCGGCTTCAGACGAATATTTCCGTACGATGAGGTCCATGCAGTGGTCCCGGTGCAAACAACGCTGGCCCACTGGGCGTCACTGAGAGATGAGTCGGGAAGCTTAACCACTGCTTCTGCTGGAATTGTCACGTATTCTCTCAGAACACCATCGATGGTATAATCAATCCTACCTCCAAACTATTCAGGCACTTGTGGTTCTTATGGCGCTCACGGCGTGGAGTGATGCACCGCTAGTGCGGGATAGCCTAGCAATGGCTCGTCAATTAGCTGTCATGCTACGAGACCTTGGCATACATCAACCGGAGGAAATGACAGGAACAAATTCCGTGGTCGACTTGGGTCGCTCATGAGGGGCGGCGGCGGACCTTGCTCGCAGCTTATGTCTTATTAAATCTTCAGAGCATCACTGTCGACGTCCCACCTCTCATTATGAATCAGGAGGTAGCTGTCGACCTTTCATCATGCGAGGAAGTATGGAAGACATCCTCTTCGGCAACCTTGGACCGGCTTCGTACACCTGCTACATTATACAAACAATTTTTCATCAGCGACCTAAAGCAACTACTTGGGGGAGGCAGTATCCGTGACCAAGGCGCCATCTCCGCGTTCGCTAATTGCGTACTCATATACGGACTTCTCCAGTAAATCTTCCTGGAACGCCATGGGGCAAGCTGTCTGCCCGACTCGTCGCTACGAGCCGAATTTATCGAGTCAATGGAGATCGCCTTACGCAACTGGCAGCGCTCTTGGGAGGCCACCTGGGAGTCGACTCTGGACCCTTCCTCTCCTAAGGGTCCATTAGGCTTCGACGCAACTGCGCTGCTCCGCATGGCATACATCCGACTGAATACTAATCTGGGCCCAAGTCGCCAGCTAATTACACATGACCCAGAAAGTATTGTGAGAACCTTTGCTGAGCGCGGAATTCACTCGGTTATTCGGTCTCCTCATATAGACAGGCTGTAATTCAGTGCGTTCATGCTCTCGGTATTCCCATTCGTGTTGGCGTACAGTATGTCGCGCGTACGCAGAATCTGCACTGCGTTGAGTGATCTTGAGTGTGCCTTCTTGCTTACTAGCTGGTTGGGCAATACCGCTCAAAGTGTTCGTGCTGGTGGCAACGAGTCACTACGTGACGATGGACAAAAGCTCGTCGCCATGACCGAAAATCTTGTGCGGGAGACTGACCTACAAGATACCCTAGAGTACGACGAGGATCCTCCAACGAAAGTCCAACGTCTCGCCACTTCAACTGCTCGCCTGTGGGCGGAAACATTCCGTGGGAGACATATGGATGAATACGTTGCATTGACAAGCATCGGGTCTTGCTATACCCGGTTGCATGATTTCAACAACACAGTTGACTACAACATCCGCGCACTCTGCCCGGTGGAAAGGGTTCTGGGAAAAGACGACCTGAATATCCTTTTAAGATCAATGACCTCGCGGTGGCCTACGAGGAACGGGAAATGCTCCAGGAGGCTTACCATATCTATCTTCCTTCCTTATCTGGGAAGTTGAGAATACTTGGAGAGAGCGACGCGAGTACTCTGATAACAACAACACAGGAGGCTACTATTAGGGGCTAACACGACATGTGTTCGAGTCCCTTGTTGCGATGGAAAAAGCCTGGTCGGCAAGAGCCATGGGGGACCTCAAAGCATTTGATGGATCTATGGCTTAGCAAAAAAGGGGCTCTTGTTTCTTGATGTACCAAAATGGTATGGATGGTTACGTTATGGAAGAAGAATGGTTTAATGAGGGAAGACAAGGGATACATATTTTCCTGCTGAGCTTGCTGTGGCTGGAGGTGTTTACTAACACGAGCTGCAGTGGACTATGTGAGCAGATAACGGCTCAAAAGGTTAGGCGGTCTTACATCAAGTTAGAAGGAAGTTTGTCGTATTCAAGAAAACATTATACCATTTTGTGCTAGATACCAGTAGAATACATAGAGCATCCATTCACCCTTTCACGTGGATTAGATGTTAAACAAGTCGAAGATCGGCTGAAGACAAAGCGTCTGCCTATTACAACCGCGATAACTTCATCTGACGGTTCACGTCCTTGTAGAGCAGGTAGCGGAATTTTCCAGGGCCACCCGCGTAACAGGCCTGCGGGCAAAAGGCGCGCAACCACATGAAATCACCTGCTTCCACCTCCACCCAGTCCTGATTGAGCCTGTAGACGGCTTTACCTTCCAGTACGTAAAGCCCGTGTTCCATGACATGGGTTTCTGCGAAAGGGATGAGACCGCCAGGCTCGAAGGTGACAATGGTGACATGCATATCGTGGCGCAGATCGTTCGGGTCAACAAATCGTGTGGTTGCCCAAGTACCGTTGGTGTTCGGCATCGGTGTGGGCGGAATATCCTTTTCGTTGAGGAAAAGCGGCTCGGGCTTATCGATTCCATCCACATATTCGTAGGCCTTGCGTATCCAATGGAAACGGGCGGTGGTCGCGCCTGTGTTGCGTAGGGTCCAGCCACTCTTCGGTGGTAGATAGGCATAGCCGCCCTCGGCAAGCGTGTGTTTCTGGGTTCCCAGGGTAATCGTCACTTCGCCCTCGACAACAAACACGACACCTTGCGCACTGTCGTCTAGTTCTCCGCGGTCACTACCACCCCCAGGTTGCACTTCCATGATGTATTGCGAAAATGTTTCGGCAAAGCCCGACAACGGACGGGCAATCACCCATAACCGGGTCTTATCCCAGAACGGCAGGAAACTCGTCACGATGTCGCTGAATGTGCCCTTCGGAATTACCGCATACGCTTCGGTGAACATGGCACGGTCGGTGAGGATCTGTGTCTGTGGCGGCAACCCGCCCTTGGGTGCATAATAGGCACCGACCCTCTTGTCGTTACTCATGGCGGGGGTTTCGCTCCTTGCAGATGTGCAGGTATGGAATTCGTTTTGGTGTACTTTGGGTTGAAAGGAAGATTGTCAGAGAGCTGGGTTAAATTTGGAGAAGTAATTGAGAATCTAAAGTTCTTCCCCGCATATTTAAATGCTGGCCTTATCACTGATCCATGGGGAATTTCCGGCGTTGACCGAGTTGCTTCGGTCAGATCGGTGCCGGCCGACCTCGGGAAAAGTTATGCGTTTGCTTAGTAATTTGGTCCGCACCCGTGCACAGATTCCAAGGTTGTCAAATTCGGACCATCTTTCATTTTAATTAGAGATTTTTGCCATGGTGTTATCCATACGCTCATCAAGCTATGGTTCTTTCTCAACTTGTCGCCGCGCGATTTTAATATACAACATACTTCTCGACCAACTTCGACGTGTATACGACAAATAGAATGATAACCCTGATGAAATTACACTTCATGTCTTCAAAACTCACTTCGAAACCGGCTTTCTTAACAATCGAATCTTCCACGTACATACCCAGAATTTGTCAAGATCGTACAGTCGCTCGCCAGTTATTCCTTTCCAAATTTGAACACGGTAAACTCTTCGTCACTGATCTGAAGAGTATCGACTGAGAGATCCATCCGACCGTTGTGGTTGTTGTTGTTGTTCGAAGAGCTTGACGTGTTCGAACTCGTAAAGGAATAACTGGCGAGCTGCTTTGGCTGCTTTGCGACCCCCATAAACTCTGGGTATGTGCGTGGAAGATTCAAACGTTGAGAAAGGCAGTTCCGAAGTGAGCTTTGAAGACATCAATAGTAATTTCATCAGGGCCATGATTCCAGAAACTGCTGTGAATGCGTGTGGTTTGTACCTGCGTATGATTCGCAAATGTATATAATATATTCCCTTAAATACTCTCAAGTCTCTTAATGTACAATGCCTACTCCTGCGCCCAGCCCTCTAGAATCACATCCATCATTT